TGTTAGTTTATAGCATTGACTAGTCAACGGTTTATAGCAAACTAGCTGCTACACCCGTGATTTGCAGTTCTTTAAAATACCTTATGATATTGTTACACACCCACTATTTGAACTTTTCTAGTGTTTCCTGTCATCTATAATCTCCCCTTTTACAAACCAATCAATCAATCAAACTTGCTTTATATTATTAATTAAAAATTGATACATGCATGTGATATTATAGGTGTAAAAACCACTACCAAACCTCACTAAATTGATGGATGGAGGGAGAAACTCAGTATAGTTAGTCTAAGATACAAGACAGTTGGAAAGGTTGATGCTGTTTCTGGTATTGACAGAGATCAACAAGATGTCTTATCCTTCCACCAAGCATTCTCTTAGTATTAATTAAACTTCTTAATTAGACAAAATTATTTATTCTTTATAAACTTTTTGACATTTGTAGCATGAAATTTATCATCTTTGAAAGGCTTTACAACTGTTTAATTTAGAGATATTTTAGAAGTTGTTTTACATAAAGAAACTATGGTACTTAGATCGTTGACAACGTAAAAGAGGGTCACAGAAATTGTCTGAAAGTTTCTCTAAAAGATAATTTTAAAAACTTACTTTTTATATTTTTAAAACAATAAATGAATAAAGTAAAAATAATTATTTTTTTTTTCAAATTACCAACAAGGAAATGTTAGTTTTCCCGTTCATTGCTATAAGTACAAACGCAGAAGAACACTGAAGGTGGTAGCTATTGTAAACAGTTATAGTATCACAATTGAAAACACATTATGTAGTTTCTATTGTACCAAAAAGTATACAATCCTATGACTTGGTTTAACAAAAGGATTCTATTTGTAAGATGTAGAGTGTATAGTTTGAAAGAAAACATCAAACACTATTAAAATACCTGCATATAGTAATCCTTTGTTGCTGATTTAGGCAACTAGTTTCGGTTCTTGTTTTGAACCATCTTCAGGCCTCAAGGTGTCAAGTGATCACTTCATTCGAAGGTCGTTAACAGAGTTCAATAAATAAAACATATACAAAACACGATACACGGGACGGACACACATTACAAAAAACACGAAGGGACATTGACAATCGATCGTGACCGGGCTGAGGTAAAGTCTAGACTGGTGGTCAAAGTGGTCTATGACGTTGTCTCTGTCTTCTTATCACCGGTGCGTGTTCATTCATTCATTGTTCCCTCCAGTATCCTTATAGCTGTGTTGTAAATATAGTTGGATTGGAAGGAGAGTTTATCGTTCAAAACATTTTGATGGTCAGCTTTAACTGCTCTGTATATTTCAAACTCTTCCAATGTGTTTCTGGTTAGACGGTCCTGCGAGAAATGTAAAACTTCCATATTACTATTGATGTCTGAATAATTGTGGTTGTGTAATACTAGATGTTCTGCAAAATTTGATGTTTGGGGAGCTGTTGTTTTTCTGGGCATATGTTCCTTAAATCTCTTCTTAAACGAGCGTGAAGTCTGGCCAATGTAGTAGTTCGTGCAGTCATTACAATTTATTTTGTAGACTCCAGACTTATCGTAGATGGATGAATTAATTTCTGTTTTATCTTTCAATAGAGATCCAAGTTTATTGTTAGTCTTGAACGATACAGTGAATTTATTTTTGTCCATGATATTTTTAAATGTGTTACTGATATGTGAACCATAAACCATATGTGCACTTTGACCACCAGTCTAGACTTTACCTCAGCCCGGTCACGATCGATTGTCAATGTCCCTTCGTGTTTTTTGTAATGTGTGTCCGTCCCGTGTATCGTGTTTTGTATATGTTTTATTTATTGAACTCTGTTAACGACCTTCGAATGAAGTGATCACTTGACACCTTGAGGCCTGAAGATGGTTCAAAACAAGAACCGAAACTAGTTGCCTAAATCAGCAACAAAGGATTACTATATGCAGGTATTTTAAACCATTTTAAGTATAATACAGTAATCCGGAGGCTAAACAACTATTTTTTAAAACACTATTAAGCATATAACTAATTCCAAACTGTTATCTGTTTTTGTGTCAAATATCATATAATTTTCATTGGTAGTTCTGAGTTTATTGAATGTAACGAAGATCTAAACTTTTACATTAGTAAAGATAAAAAAAACTGTTACTGACGACCTTCATATGAAGTAATATAATCCTTGTACACACCTGATGATGAACTCCTAGCAGGCCGAAAGTAGTTGTGAAGACAACAATCGGATTGCAAGAATAAGGTATTTAAACCACTATCACTAGTAAAGATAGCATTAACACTTAAGGTTTGCATTTGCAATGAACATTCAAACTTGGCTGACATATTTGCATATTGTTGCCAAACTCAAAGTAACAAATCTAAGGTTTTCATGTTTCATGCTCAGATGGGTAATTTGACTCAATCTGCAGTTACCATTGTTGCTTTTATATTAAGTAGTGTGTTGAGCTGTCTCTAAGATTTTCATTGAAAACCAGGTGGTTTTGCATTATCCTCCTATACATAAAATATGTATATATAAGGAGAAAATATTGTGCATTTTTTAGTTTTGAGTTTTGGGTGGAAAATTCTGTTTTGGGTCCTTCTGAAAAAAGTAGTTTTCTAAGTGATGTCTGTATGTGTATTGGATGTGTACAGAACCTGTGGTGCAGTTTTGATGAAATTCGGTATATGGGTGCTAATCCATGGTATTTCCAGGTTTGTTCACATGTTAAACATTTGGTTTTTTTTCTATAATAAATATATAAATAAATATATTATTCTATAATAATAATTACAAAAATATGATTTTCACAAAAAAAGCTCTAACGATTTTGATTGCAATTTTATATGTTATAACCATTTCACCCTGAACAAGATGGCTCAGTTCCCATTGCTGTAGGAATTATTAATGTGTAGTTTGTAAAATATGACAGTACTATTGATTGATATTACTCATCTCGAATCAATAGGTTAGTTGAAAAAAATCTCAATTGGTATTTAATCACATATTAAATCTGTCAACCCTATGTGTAGATGACTAGAACATAGCCCAGTATTACAAACTAATTATATCACTGGACACCAATCATATTGCAATTTGCTGATCTCCTCAGCATTTAAATGTGATGCTGTAATCATTTGTTTATTATAAGCTAATACCACTTGGACAAATTGTTAACATATTAATTCATTCCTTCAGTTCAACTGGTTCGATTTATCAATATTCCTGAATTTTATTTCAATGTAGTTTGATATACAAGGTAAAATCTTTTGTTTTATTATTTTGTTTGGATTTTTTATTCACGCTAAATTGTCTTGAAATTGACATTTGCATTTGGATATGAATATTAGCGAATTTCCCATTTGAATTTTTGTATGGTAGGTCTTTAAAAAGCTGTAAAAAAAACATTTTATACATTTAAAGTTTTGTTTTATCTTCAAGCGTTTTGAAACTCTAGTCCAAAAAACATATTTTTCAATATTCTTCCTTGTCTTTTATGTTGGCAGTCTTTTTTACTAAAAAAATTCCTATCCACATTATGCCTATCCTGTGGGTGATTTTTATGAAGCAAAGCAATGGGTGTTTTGCAAAGCAAAGAAAGCAAATGTTTTACTTGCACATTTGTATTACTAAATAATAAATGTATACATTATTAAGATGAGTCGGTGGCATAGTTGGTTAGTGCACTGGCTCTCAACGATACCATCGCAGCAGACAATTGGTGGGTTCGAAAGATGGCCAGAGGAGGAATTAAGTTTTTTCAGTACAGTGCATCTTGTACCCTTGCTTTTTTCTTTATAACACCCTTACACAGGTGAGGCCCATGTTGGTGGGCAATTCAAGGTAAAAATGGCTGCCAACTTAAAAAAAACATGATAAATTCTTTAAAAATAAGTTTTTCAATAATGTTGTATTTTTCATATTTGGTTCTCAAAACTGAGAAGTTCCCAATTTTTTTTTCTAAATCATTTTGTAGAGCTAAAAAACACAAATAGTTGAGTATCCTGGGGTGTTTTTGTTCGGTTACGGAAAAGAAATTTTTAATAAAAAATTGCAATGTTGTTCTTATGGAGAATAAGTAAACTTTTGCAGTTTGCTTGTTTTGTATATTTTAATCAAGTTTGTTAATTCATCAGCTTTTAACATTTCACATAAAACACTTGTTTACTACCTTCCCTGTATGAGTAAACCTAAGTCATGTTAAATTCAACGTTTTTAAGGAATAAATCTGCCACGTCCAAGGGAAAAAGGTATCTTGGTAAAACTAAAAAGCCAATTAGGCTACTGGAATTCGCTTAGTCTGCAGGTTGTTGTGGCGGGGGTGTTTTTTTAAAGTTCTGAACATCCTGAGCCAAGTGTTTTTTGTTAGATGCCCCAACTGTCATACCTGTCACCTAACTAAGTTTACACTTCAGGGAACTAGGGAGCCCAATAACAACAAATAATTTTCTTTATTATAAAACAATGTGATATTGTGGTTTGTCTAAAATCACTGATTACTTAATACTAAATTTCAATTGTCTTCACATTTGTTTGTGACATTTGGTATTAAACTGTCAGAAATTTTAAGAGAGATAAAAGAACTGTATTATTTTAGTTGTCAAACATTAAATCAAATAAATGTTGCTACTGGGCTTCCTAGTCCTGTATAGCATGAACTTAGTCGAGCGGCAGCAATAAAAGAACCAGACATCACTGGTGACCATACCCAGCTTTGGACAACACCCAGCCCTTAGCTCACCATAGGCTGTTCAGAACTAAATATTAGTAATTAACTCAATAATATACAAATTAATAAATTGGTTTTCTATACAATGTTTTCTTTAATTCATAGAGGGCTGTAATTCATTTCACAAATCTGTAAAACATGAAATAGCAGTTTTTCAAAGTTTTTTTAATCAGTTTTTTATCACCATCAAATAAACCTATAATTGAGAAAAATGTTCATTTACGTTATAAAAATTAAAAGCAGACTTTTACTTACCAAGGAGCAATACCAAATGGTAAAAAATGAAACCACTTAATCTTTTTTCACAAATTTATTTGAAATAAAGTTATGGAGGCTTCTCCCCCTTTGGCTGGGGCAAGGAACAACAGATTAGACTTTGCATGGGCCAACAATATCAAAATATATACAAGTTATATGATATTTGTCTCTATTAAATATAATACACTATGTTCTTGACACAATAGCCATGCATTTCTGTACAAAATCATATATGACAAATAAAATCAATGTCTGAAGTGAGACTTTTAAAACTAAATTCAAGGTTCGAAAGAGTCGTTCATGATCTGTGGAGGATTTGTCTTATAAAAAATTCCATCACTCTTTAGTCTTTTAGTTGCACAATAGTATTTTGTAAAAAATATAAAAACCTACCACATTGTTGTTAGTTTAAACAATGTTAGGACTTTAATCATCTTTTTTATTGTAAAGTAAAATCTTCTGGACATTTATAAGCAATGAATTAATACCTATTAAAATATGTAACTGTATTACACCACAGGGTTTTTTTAATGTTTGCATATTAAACTTATGACTTAATCTACAAATTTTCTGTATGACTGATTAATTATGGCATTGTTTGTTGGTTTAATTAAACTTTAGGCTAGGATTATACTAGGACGCTGGCGTTCGGGATGCTGGCGTCCGAGAGGCTAGCGTCCCACGTCGAGCCGAAAATGACGTGATTTGTGTTGGGATGCTAGCCTCTCGGACTGCCATTTTATTTCAATGTTTTGTCACTTTTTGTTTATATCTATTTAAATAACATTAGGTTTAACGAGTACCCAGATTTGCTGCTTTAAGGAGGCTAATATTGTGTGTTTTTAGTAAAATATTAATAGCTTAGTATAAAACAAATCGGCCAAGTTTGATCAAAATATATCCATACACAAGCAAATTCCAACAGTTAACAATATTTGCTATAAGAATAACATGGGGGTTTTTAATTTACACTTCTTTGAACTAATAACCGTACGAAAACACTTTAATATGCCTAATTATTTGCATTTAAGCTAATAAAAATTGTCTAGAGACAAATATGACAAAAACCTTTTTTCCATAAAACTCCGTTCCCAAGGAGGCACAAAATCGAGCGTCCGGTGGCTTTTTTAGCATCCGACGCTGGCATCCCTAGTATAATCGCCCCCATTTGATTTAATGCCCCGCTAGCGTCCCAGACGCCGGCCTCCCGGACACCAGCGTCCTAGTATAATCCTAGCCTTAAACTAAGAAAAAATATCTTAATAAACATTTATTAATATACTAGTAACACCAATAATCCTTGTAAAAAATGTGCAGCAAATAAAACACATTTGTGACAAGCCTTTGATTTTAGAATATGTGCTACCTTCTCGAATAGGAAAGGTCATAATATTATAATATGTTAATTGACAAATATACTCATGGTTACGATATACATTTTGACATCAAGAGTAAATTTTAAAATAGTCCATAAATATTCTCTTGATCATATGTAAGGGTAAGCATAAATAAAACAAATGCACGGTTATTTGTTGCAATCATATAATTATGGCTATCATTATATAGTTGCATGTGAACTATCAATATTTAATTAGAATTCAATTTGAATAATAACATTGTTAAAATCTCCAACATCAATGGGAACTCTAATGACAATATTAATTTTTTAGGTTTTAAAAATTATTCTCAAAACTTAACTACATTTAACACTATTTTTAAAAATATTTCTGAGAAAACCCATGCAGTTTCACAAAAATAACTATATAGTTCTACTATAGCAATGGCTTTTTCAATAAAACTAACGCTATATATATCCTACACTAAAAATGGTACAAAAAATAAAATAGTTATGAAACAGATATTTTTTTTTGTTTGGGGTATAAACTTTAAAAATACCTTTTTTCGAATTTCAAGTCTTATTACTCTGGGGTCTTTTTTTGGATAGTAGTATTATATACTTTTTTAAATAGGGAAGTTGTTCGTCATTTCTAGTTATCTAAATGGTAAAATGAGAAAGAAATAAACAGTTTCTATGGAGACACCCCATCACAGACATGGTACGGTAGCATAGACGTATATACGGCGGAGTGCGGAGTGGAGAGGGAGAAGGTTCAGTGTAGAGTGGAGGTAGAGGTCTGACCCTCGCGTTTACCGAGACCGAAGCTGTAGTGGGGACTCCTCTCTTGTCTCTCACCTCCCAGCGACGCAGACATCTCCTCCTCTAGTAGGTCTCCACTGATCTCCCTCTTGCCTGGAACAGTCAGCCGAATATTAATAACAAGGGAAAAGGGGGACAGTTCTCAGCTGCAAAAGTAAGTTAAGAAATTAACCTGTACCGGTACTATTCACCAGCCCCATGAGATGACCATCTTGAGTAAAAAGTTCTTAAGCTATATTTCAGAAGAGATTCAATCCTATTCTTATAATATATATGAGGTTACATTACCTTAATCGCCAAGTGATCCGTGTAGTCCAAATCTAGGATTACGTACGTTTCGACGTCAATGCGTCATTGTCAAATCTACAAAAACTTTTTTAAACCATAAGGGTCACGTCATAGTCTTTCCGACACACACAAACGAAACAATAACGGACAAAAATACATTTAAGTAGGCCTACTAACTAATTTATGGTAAACGGTCGTCACAACATAGTACAGATCTGATCGCATGCCGAGACTCGACTGATGGTGGTGCGCCGCTTCCTGGTTTATCAACTTGGACTTTGTCCTCTGCCACCTGTATCATCCAGTTGTGAGCTCTTTAGTTTTATGAGGGATTCGAACAATGCATTTGACTGGAAAACACATTTGTCATTCAACAAATTTTGAGGCTGGTTCCGTGTAGCTTTATAAATCTCATAATTTTCCAATGCAGTTAATCTATGTCCTTTTCTGCAAATGTGTAATGGTTTTAAATTACTATTAATATTTGTATAGTTGTGGTTGCTATTGGTCAGATGTGCTGCAAAGTTAGATTTTTGTACAATGGTGGCTTTAGGCAAATGTTCTTTAAACCGCTTTTCGAATGATCGTCCTGTCTGGCCTATGTAGATCTTCTCGCAGTCGTCACAAGTTACATAGGCCAGACAGGACGATCATTCGAAAAGCGGTTTAAAGAACATTTGCCTAAAGCCACCATTGTACAAAAATCTAACTTTGCAGCACATCTGACCAATAGCAACCACAACTATACAAATATTAATAGTAATTTAAAACCATTACACATTTGCAGAAAAGGACATAGATTAACTGCATTGGAAAATTATGAGATTTATAAAGCTACACGGAACCAGCCTCAAAATTTGTTGAATGACAAATGTGTTTTCCAGTCAAATGCATTGTTCGAATCCCTCATAAAACTAAAGAGCTCACAACTGGATGATACAGGTGGCAGAGGACAAAGTCCAAGTTGATAAACCAGGAAGCGGCGCACCACCATCAGTCGAGTCTCGGCATGCGATCAGATCTGTACTATGTTGTGACGACCGTTTACCATAAATTAGTTAGTAGGCCTACTTAAATGTATTTTTGTCCGTTATTGTTTCGTTTGTGTGTGTCGGAAAGACTATGACGTGACCCTTATGGTTTAAAAAAGTTTTTGTAGATTTGACAATGACGCATTGACGTCGAAACGTACGTAATCCTAGATTTGGACTACACGGATCACTTGGCGATTAAGGTAATGTAACCTCATATATATTATATCTCAGTGATTCAGATAAACAACATACAACATGAACCTATTCTTATGTGGAAAGTCTTTAAGAAAACCTATTCCAAACATTCCTTAAGCTAAAAGTATCCCAAAAATGTTCTTGAGCTCAACATCCTAAAAGTCTGTAAGATTCATATGTTTGCGATGAGCCATTGCTGAACAACTATGCCTGAGTTCACACCTGTGATCTCCGAGCTATAGAAGCTGCCAAAACAAAACTAAGGTATTCCATTGCTGAACAACTATGCCTGAGTTCACACCTGTGATCTCCGAGCTATAGAAGCTGCCAAAACAAAACTAAGGTATTCCATTGCTGAACAACTATGCCTGAGTTCACACCTGTGATCTCCCAGCTATAGAAGCTGCCACAACAAAACTAAGATATTCTGAGACATTGCTCCTGAATCGATGTCATATAATTTGGATAGAATGTAATGTCTCTTCATTCTTTTTGGAAACATTTTCTCATTGGTGGCCCAATGCTTCTAGGTGTTGAGATTGCTTCGGCAAAAACCTCAAACAAACAAACCCAAATACAAAATATTTTATATTACAAAATATTTTTTAAAGCCTAAAAAAGCAAATCTTTCATGTGTTTTTTCAAATAAAACTGAAATAATTTTAATTGAATTTTGAGGCAAGTCCAGACTTGACTATAAGATATAGGTAGTACATCATAGATCAACAGATATTAAAACTATCAACTTTACTACTGCAGTTATTGAAATGATTTTGACTATAATATTTAATATTTACCCCATAAAATTAGATGAATCGGATGTTGATTTGCTAACAACATATAATACATTTCTGATGGGATTGTGATAATATGTCTTATATTTTAAGCAAATTCATTGGATATTTAAATTCTACAATGAAATAAAAGATTATTAGTCTAATTATATAGTATAATGAATTTACATACCTAATCCAAAAGAGTACAACTTGTTCTTTTTGCCAAGGCCAAAGTTATAAGGAGAAGGAGCAGCTCTTTTTCCTCCGATTACATTGTCATCAACGTCTTCATCGCTGTCGTACTCTCGTTTTCCAAGCCCAAATGAGTATAACCTGCCCTCCCTCTTGCCCAGGCCAAAGTTGTATGGTGATGGTGATGCCCTCTTGCCCATCCTGTACTTGTACTCTGTGTCGTAATCTGTATCATCATCGTCGTAGTAAGCACTGCGCTTTCCCAGGCCGAAGGAATACATCTTGCCTTCTCTTTTGCCAAGTCCAAAGTTGTATGGAGACGGTGCAGCTCGCTTACCTAGGTCATAGTCTAAATCTCCGTCATCTTCTGGGTCGTACCTTAAACAAATGTTTTTACTTCAAATTCTCATAATATTCTGTCATAGTTCCATAGTTCCTTATCAAACTCCATAGTATTTAGAAAATGCCATTTTAAACTCACATTTTAACCGGTACTTAAAAAAAATACTTCTTTGCTCCTAGTTGTGACATTTACTCTAAGTAAATCCCCCCCAAAGTAAGAATTTACTAATACATGAGTACAGTTTGTGCTTTATGTCATTTTGTTGCATGCAGATTAAGGTTAGCATATCTTGAAACTGCAAATTATAATTTTACAGTTAATTCAATCAAAATAGCTATAATCCAGGTTTTGTATCACTAGCAATAATAACTTTTATGCGTTGTATCATTGTTTGATAAATATTTCTATAGGCTGTAAGTATTTAGTGAGAAACAGGATAATCAGCAAACTTAATTTTCTGAACTATTATCTCCTTTTTCAGTTATTCAGAAACTATTCGTTACGTAACCACAAGCTAAACAAAGATCTATGAAGTGCAACCTTTGTTAAAACACAACCAAGATAAGAGGGTAGTTTACCTGTCTCTCTTCCCAAGCCCAAAGGAATACATGCGGTGACCAGAGTCTCGTTTTCCTAGGCCAAAATTATAGACAGGGAGGCGCTTGTACTCAGAAACATAGCTGTAGGCCGCCCTTTTGCCGAGACCAAAGTCATACAATCTTTTGGCGTTATCTGTATCAGCAGCGGACACTCGCCACGACCACAGCAATATCACAGCCAATATGGAATACATCATCCTGGAACATCACGAACAAAATAACATCTCAGTCAACTTGGAATACATCAAACTGAAACATCACAAACAATATAACTTCACAGCCAACAGGGAATAGTCATCCTATAACATTCCACACAACATGATATCACAGTCAAGACAGAATGTATTACATCACAAACAGTATGACATCACAGTCTTCACAGTGTACACCTTTCTAGCACATGATTTGTGGTTAAATGTATAGGCCGTTAGGAGTATATCGTCCTTCCTAAAAACGCATCTTAGAGGATCACAATATGAATAATATTGCGGCCATCATAAAATATCTATTTCCATAAAATTACAAACAGTACAGATTACATCAACATAGCACATCATACTTATTGTATGAATTAAATGATGTTATGATATCTTAGCCATCACAAAGTTCAATATTATACCAAATTACATACTTATGATGCCACAATAAAATAAAAAAATCTTGAGTCATTAAACTCAATATGATGTCCCATCTAAGACGGAGTGCCTTACATCATAGAATATCATCTTAAACCTACAAACATTATCACTTCCTTTAGTACCAACCTAAAATCATTTAAAGGATAAAAAAGCTAAGTAGGTATAGATAACTTTACTAAAATTGATAACACATTCATTATTGTGTGGGTAGACTATAATGGACACATCACTTCGGTTGTTTATTTCAACAGAGGCACGGGACATTACCCTCAACATGAGTCCATGTCAATTAGAGAACATTATTTGCTTCACACCGTGATCAGAGTTTATCATCCCGAATCATCTCACACAAAATTAATTACGCATGTTCCTGTCCAGTATGATGTTTAAAAAGTATATTACACTCTAACGTATTGTATTGTTAAATATATTGACTGTGATGATTACAGTAATCAAAACAAATTGTTTAAAATAATAAAAAATGATATTAAATTTTATAAATTACAAATAAAACCTCAAATAATGAGGGACAAGTTTCCTCAAAACAATTCTATATACGTAAAGTCTTTGTAAGGGTTTTACTCAATTTCCCTAAACAAGAAACACAAGACAAGTCCAATAAACTGTGAAGTAACGTAGTGAAGTTGAAGAGAACAGTTGCAAAGTATTCACAACAGCGGGACGCCTTCAATATCTGTTCCGCAATATTGCTACAGAGTACGTTCTGCCGCGGCCCGTTTCACGGCGCACCTCGCAAATTACGTTCAAACATACTACAGTAATGTTTATGTTTAGTTTTAAGTTAAGAAAAATACAATTTAGTTAATATAAATAACTAGGACAAACGTAATAGTGGTAAAAAATAAAAAAATAAATGTTACATTGTAAAACATTGTGATTAATTCATTTTACTGATATTAGGATTTCAAAGTGTATACTACTGCGTACAAGCTGTAATACAAATAAAATTGATAGAACGTTTCTTTATTTTAATACTAAACGGTGAGGTTTATATTATACAGGTATATTATATAGGTTTTTATTATACCTTACACAATGTATATTTAATTACTTACAAAGTATTTAAATTATATTTATATAAACCATGTACATATTTAAAGCTATTTAGGAATACCTTTAAAACACAGGAAACCCCAGATTGGTTATAATGAATTGTGAAAATAATAATAAACTTTGGCTTCGGTTTTGACCACATTAAATTTGCATAAATTCCGTCACGAATAATCATTTGTATTATTTACCAAGCAAAAACAGTTTAGTTCAATTACTAAATAACTTAAGATAGATCTGTGAATAGGCTATGTAGAAAGACTGATGAGGTAGATAGCATAAACAAACAAATGCAACCAACTGAATCTACAGAACCAAAAAACCTTTGTGTACCTCTAATTCCTTCTCCTAAAAAAAAATTTACGAGTGTAGACAGTTATAATAACACGGAGTTGTTTTACAAGAACCCAGAGTTTATATTTTTCAATTTAAGTGTTAACAGATTTAGCTACGATTTTGACACAGATTAAGTATTAATCCAAGCTAAATATATTTTTAATATTTCCAAGAAGATGCGAAAACGTGTCAACACGCAAAAAAGTGACGAAACTCTTAACATTTGTTGAAATGTGAGTTCATTGCAATATGTTAGGTCTTATAACTGGTTACTCCTATAAATAGTAGTATGGATCTAAAAATCTTAGTTGTACTATTGACAGTTTCTATCGAGTTTTACATGGTAATTTTTATGTTATTTACGCGAATATTGTTGTGTTTTCTATAATTATTTTTATGTCATCCTAATTAAATTAAAGACGACCAGAACGACCTATGCAACTAAACTCACCTGGCGATGTAGGTGGAAAGTACTGCGCTATCTAGTGTTGACAACTATAAGCCGGGGTTTAGATATTGTGGATTATCTTTTATAATAAAGATGCACACGTGTTCTCCGCAAAACGTTGCTGTTCAATAAATAACCATATGGTATTCAGGGGTTGTAGAATGTTATAAATATTACAGTTGAATTCTTGTTTCGTATGGGGAAAAAATTATAACTTCCATTTTTTACAACAAATACCCTCCCGTGAATTAGATATGTCAACATTATAATTTGGTTTTAAGGTTTAGATCAAATAAACTTTAATAACGAAAGTACAAAAGGTTTTTTTTAATTGGCACTCTGTATGACAGATTTATTCAACTATGCTTTCTTTGGGTAAACATTGGTCGAGCTGATCCTATGGTAATGGGATGTCTACTTCAATATCATAAGTAAATGATATTATACATGTTTTTATTGTATATTGTACATTACCTTAGGTTAAGTTGTGTAGGTGAAAGTAATTACTGTAGTGCAATTGAGAACCTACCCATTTTCTCATATTGATATCTTTTGTGATGTAGAAAGAAAGTACGGTATTTCGTAGCTTAAGACATGATGTACGGATGTCTATGAACACATTATTTTTCTGTGATATATTCATGACTGAGTTTTATATATGAAATCAATAGTGTAAAATAATGAATACTCCAGAATCATATAATTGTCATGACCATTGTATTGTTTCTGTTTCCGCGCCGGTGAATCGTTTATTGTTTAATAATACGTGAATTGTTCTTGGGAAATATTAATGACTACACAAATATTATTGTTAACCTTTTGGTCAAAACTATCGGAATGTAAAATACCGAACATGTCCCATTAAGTTTTACTCTTTCACTTCACTTGGATATTTATTTAGGGTGTTAAAAAAATGGAGACATAATTTACGTAGTGATTCCTTGGGTTAACGAAGTGATTTTAGGAAAAAATGTTATTCTTGATTTTCTCTTTATTTTGACCCAAGGAATCACTACGTAAATGATGTCCCCAACCTTTTTGAACACCCTGTAGAAGCACAAGAGTTCCAAATATCTTTATCTATTATCTTTATCTTTATCTATTACAAACACATAAGATTATGAACGTAAACAACATTATATTTGACAATAGGCTCTGGTTTTTGTTTAATTGTTTGTTTACATTATAGACTGTTATAATATCATTTTTTTATTTTTCGAGAACTAAATACACATGCAACTAATATTAATTGGTTTCAGACAATAATTGTCTGATAATTATTATAATTATTATAAAAAAAGTTAAATTGGAAGTGCTAAATCTTTTACAACTATCGAAGATGTGTAATAGTTCCGTAAACTTATACATAAACGAGGTTTATTGTTTATTAAATTTGATAAACGTAGGATTGGAATTTCCAGATATATTTGGTAGGATGATGATATAATTGATGACTTGAGAGAGGACTGAGTCAATAAGATAGCGGCTCTTGCTCCAATCTCTATAAAGCGTTTATACAGTGAATAACGATTTTTAAAAAGATCTTACCGGCCTCTTTGCTCTGCATTTGCCCGTTCAAATGTGCCACTGAGGTCTGTGTGCGGAACGAGGGTGAAAAGAACTATACAACTTTATTTTAACTTTTACCTTTTTTTTACTAATAAAAATTCGTAACAGGTACTAGGATCCGTTCCCCCGACATCACGCCTTGGGCTCTTAGTCCGTGAGTTTGAAAGATAAAAACAATCAAAAGTTAATAACGGTATTTAATTTACAGACAAATCAGTAGTGTCTTTGTGGATTGTGTTATTAGTTTGATATTTATTCCTTACTAATCTGAAAGTACAAAAATGCGTCAAATAACACTTGTAATAAATACAGTATATTTACACTTATACTGTTCACTCACAAGACGGTAAATATATAAATTTAAAAGAAGGTAAGTGGTGATCGATTTAGATTGGACACTTCAATCATCATCAGACCCAATAGGCAAATCATGATTGGGTCTGAGAATGATTGGAGGGTCCAATCGAAATCTATCAACACTTACAATCTTTTTATGTATATATATTTATCGTATTTTGAGTAAACAGTATAAGTGTAAATATATTTATTCCAAGTGTTATTTGTCGTATTTTTGTACTTTCAGGTAATTTAATAATACGTACGATGCTGATCAAACACCTCAACAGCATTCACAACAGTCAATATCATATTTTGTGTTTTTAGTAGGGAGTCATTCCTACAAATATAAAACATACTGAGAAGTAGTTAAACACCTCATTAGGTAATCAGTTTGAGAAGAGATTACAGTTGTATAGAGGGAGCCAGTAGGTCTAAATGGGTTTCGTTTGATGTAGCTCGCAACAGAAGACGAATTAGGGTTGGGTGACGGATAACTGTTTTTAAATGGACCTGAATTGAGTTACTCCTGATTGAATTGACACTTGACTTTTGCCTTTGAAAGAATCTATTTACAAACAACTCTAAACTTAGATTTAAATGCCAATGTTTATTTATATAACAATTCGTGTATAAAATATATTTTAGAAACAACAGTACATGGTAATAGTTTGAATACTTTAAAATTCAATGATTTATACGCTACTGAAAAGTTTACTTTATTATTTTTTGAACTAAGGAACTAGTTGTATATTTAAGAAACAATATATACATAAGCGTTGTTTTTACAATAATTTATG